ATGTGACTTCTAAGGAGGGTGTGGTGTGCAAGCTACGGAAATCTTTTTATGGATTAAAGCAGTCTCCAAGAGCGTGGTTTGGAAGATTTGCTGCATCCATGAAAAAGTTTGGGTATGTGCAAAGTAACTCTGATCATACTTTGTTTCTGAAGCGTCATAAAGGTAAATTGATGGCTTTAATTATTTATGTTGATGATATGATTGTGACTGGAGATGATCATGTAGAAATACAGAGTCTTCAGAAGTATCTGGCTTCCGAGTTCGAGATGAAATCATTGGGTGATTTAAAGTACTTTCTTGGGATTGAAGTTGCCAGGTCTAAACATGGTATTTTTCTATCCCAAAGAAAGTATGTTTTGGATTTACTTGCAGAAACTTGAATGTTGGATTGTAAACCGATTGATACCCCTAGTGAGCAGAATCATAAGTTAGGGTTATATCCCGATCAAGTTCCGACTGATAAAGAACGTTATCAAAGGCTTGTAGGGAAGTTGATTTATTTATCTCATACCCGTCCGGACATTGCATATGTTGTAAGTATGGTGAGTCAGTTTATGCACTCTCCTAGTGTAGATCATATGGGGGCTGTGACTCGTATTCTGAGGTATCTGAAAGTAACTCCTGGCAAGGGGTTAATTTTCTCCAAGTATGGTCATACAGATGTGGAAGGATACACAGATGCTGATTGGGCAGGTTCAGTTACAGATAGGAGTTCGACATCTGGGTATTTTATGTTTGTTGGTGGCAATCTTGTTACGTGGAGGAGCAAGAAACAAAAGGTGGTGTCTAGATCTAGTGCTGAGGCCGAGTATCGGGGAATGGCCCATGGTGTATCTGAGTTACTATGGTTGAGAAGATTGTTGAGAGACTTTGGTTTTGGGCCTAATAAACCCATGGATTTATATTGTGACAATACGGCTGCGATTGCAATTGCTCATAACCCTGTACAACATGACCGTACAAAGCATGTGGAGGTTGATCGAAATTTCATTAAAGAAAAGTTGGATGCGGAGATTGTTTCCTTCCCCTTTATCCGTTCTGAGTATCAGTTAGCCGATGTTCTTACGAAAGCTGTTTCTACAAGTATCTTTCTCAACTCGCTTGACAAGTTGGGCATGCGTGACGTCTTTGCTCCAACTTGAGGGGGAGTGTTAGTGAGATATCCCTATTCTATTAGGATATTATTTTATTTATTTCCTTTTGTATAGATATTATGTAATTAGGATACCACTTCTTTTCCTAGTTTAACCCTACTAGGGTTTACAACCTTGTATTATAAATACCTCTTTTCAGAGAATGAAATATATCAGAAAATATTCTACCATATTATTTGACTCTAATTAACTCGTTAAAACAAATTAACAGTTGTTCTTGAATCTTGGTCATGTCCGCGTGTTTAGAGGAGTGTCCAGACACCACACCACCACAGGCCTACACAAAAGAGTCTGTCTACAGGCCAGGTCTTCTCTTTGAAATATCTAAGGAGAAACAAAGAAAAAAAACCAAAAGCAAACGTACGCAAAACGCATTCTTGACTTTTGCTACTCCCTTTTGTCTATTGGCTTTACTTCCCTATATCCATCCACAGACAAGACCAATAACAAAGCAGTCAAGCAACCCTCTAGACCGGGGCAACAAGTAGAGTCAAGGTCTTCTCTTAGGGGTCGTTTGGTACGGCGGAATGTCATGGACTGGACTAAATCCTGGGACTATCTTGGATTGGCTTGGATTGGACTAAGCTGGATTAAGTACTGACCTACGTTTGGTGCTGCGTCGGACTAAGAAGCTGGATTGTAAAAATAGTGAAGACCTATGTTTGGTGTTATGTCGGACTAAAAAATAAATATTGTAATATTTAAATTTAATTAGGGATTCTAATTTTTTTTTTTAAAGGCTTTCTAATATACTTTTTTAGAATTATAATATATAAGCTATTTTCAAGTGTATTTTTGTTAATTTATGTTCTAAAAAATAATAAAATTTCTATTTAAAAAAACTAGATAATAACATCATAATTGATATAAACAATTAATAAATAAAATTTAAGCTAAAATAATTAATTAACTATAAACTAAGAGAGAACCACAAATATCTTCTCTTCTTCCTCTTCCCGTCACCTCACCACCTACAATCCCCCTCAAACCCATTTGCCTACCTCCCCAAACCACACAGCTTAGGCCATGCTTTCCACAAACACAACCATGCCTCTTTTCTTCCCTATCACCCCACTTTGCCCCTAATTAAGGCCATCATATTCTTACCCACATTAACAAAACGAACAAGATGGGGATGATTATGATGATGATGGGGTCCTATTGGATTGCTCACAGTTGGAAGAGGCGATGAAAGAGGGAAACGCAACAGCCTATTAATTGGGGAAGAAACATTTCCAAAGGTTACAGACCCACCATTAATCTTCTTCTATTTTCAAGAATCCAAATTCTTCATCCCTTGATTTTTTTTTTTCCCAAAATATGTCACTCTTTGGTTTTTAATTTTTTCAAATGGAATTATTGGCTCTGTGGAAATCGGTTGTGCAAGGGATGTTGTGGTTGTGCAGGGGAGGTGGAGACGCCAAGGTTCTGGGTTATGCAATGGGTTGGGTGGTGATGGGTGTTTAATTGGGTATGGTTTATGGTATGATACGGTTTACAGAAAATCTAGTTCCAAATGAAGAAGAATGAGAAATTGGTGTAGTTCGGACTCGCATGTTTTATTTAGCGAGTTCGCTATTTTGTGAACCACTTTTCGACTTTGCTATATTAGAGCAGCGAGTGAAGGGTTTTGATCACTGTTGTGCTATTTAGTCTCATTTAAGTTAGTCCCCTCTTTGACCAAACATGGGTTTCCAGTATTATTTATGCCAGTCCAGTCCAGTGAGGGGTACCAAACACAGCCTTAATGTCCTATATATGTCTAATTTGGCAACCCTATTAGACTAAGGAGGAAAATAACCCTATTAGTCAAGGTCTTGTAATAAGGTAACACTATTATATTGTAAACTAGTGGCTATGATTATGAGAAGAAAGCCAACTCAGTGAACTTGGACAATAGCAGCAGCCTATACCTATAAATACGTGTTGAGTCCTCTATACAAGAGAACTAAGAGAGAAGAGGCCAATAAGCCAGTCAAAAGAAGGAGGTCAAGTGTTGTATTAATAATTGGCACAAATTAATGTGCTAATCATCCAATTAAAAATACCCGCAAGTGCATGAATCTATTGGGGTATAGATTTGTAAGTACGAGGTCGATCCCATAAATAACTGTTGGTTTACTAAAAGTTCTAGCTTGAGTACGTAAAGAACACTTATTTAACACAACACAAATGTAAGATACAAATTGGACACTAGGAATGAGTAAAGAAAAGTAAAAGAAATGAAACAAAACAAGAAACTAAAGATAAACACAATCAAGAATTTCTATCACCCCTTTATCACCTGTTTATCACCTAATGAATAGTGCGCGACCGGTCACATGAATAGCGACATCCGATCATTCTGAAGTACATTGTGACCTAAAAAACAAAATGGAAGGCGACTGGTCGCATGAACAGTCAATAGACAATTGGACTTGAGAATCATGCAAGTGGATCGAACAAATCCACACCATTAAGTGCCCGTTTGGCATTGCTTATTCGGGATGATAAGTGATTTTTTAAAAATTTTGGAAAACCCAGCCCGTTTGGTAAATTGTGAGAAAATCACTTATTGTTAAAAATTATTGTGAGAGAAAGCTATAAGGGAGAGAAGCTAATGAGGTGCTTTCATTTTCTTACTATGCAGGAATTAGTTTCGAAGAGGTACTGAGTTTAATGATTTTACAGGAATCATTTTCTGATTATGCGGGAATCAACACCAACAACACTTTTAACAAAAAGTTTACCGAACGCCAAACTGCTTTCTCTTACAGCTGATTTCTCTCATAGCAAATTTGACAGTGATTATTTTCATAGCTTAGCAATGCCAAACTGATCTTAAGTCAAATACTTTAATTTGGTTTTAGTTTAGAAATAGAGCAACTTTCTGATTTATATTAATATATATATATATATATATATATATATATATTGTAAAAATTGTTATTTGTTGATTATCAATAACAGTTTCTGGTAAGCTTTTAGGGCTTTTGGTGTAATTCTAATTTTCGATCTCTTACTATTCAAATTAGGTCTAATGATGGAAAGCAAATTCCTCATTCGGCCATTGATAAGGAATTCCTCGCCGCTCCTATCAAATCTGCCACGGACAAATTCGCACTTCTGCCGGAGTTTCTAAAGGTTTGAATATTGTCATTGTTGTTATTGCCATCGTTGTTGTTGTTATTTTTGCATTCGGTAGTGTGTCCAGACACCACAGGCCTACACAAAAAAAGAATCTAAGTCCACAGGTCAGGTCTTCTCTGTACAAAGAAAAAAACCAAAAGCAAACGTACGCAAAACGCACTCTTGTCTTTTGGTACTCCCCTCTTATCTATTGCCTTTACTTCCCTGCTATTTCCATCCACAGACCGTCTAGACCGGGACCAATAACAAATTTGTCAAGCAACCATCTAGACCGGGGCCACAAGTAGAGTCAAGTTCTTCTCTTAATGTCCTATCCTATACGTCTAATTTGAGCAGACCAAGAAGGAAGAAAATAACACAAAAGAACCGACTTACTTTGTGGTGAGGCCAGTTGGTCGCGAGTCCTCTCCCCCCCCCAAAGTTCAAGTCTCCCTCTCGTATATTAGAAGAGTAATTTACACTCTCGCTTTATCGGGAAAAAAAATTCTACAAAAGGATCAATAATATTCAAACACAGTTTTTGCTATAAAAGCTGAAGTTATTTTCATTCAGAGGAACAAACAGAGAAATGGGTTCCTCAAGATTGCTAATTTTCTTCGTTCTTCCTATACTCTTGGTCTTGGACCCTCTTGCTCCTACCATAGCGGACGACCATATCGACAAAGGTGTTTGCACGAAGACAGCAGACTACTGCTGGAGCTGCTTCAATACTAACAACACCAACAATGGCAGCATCTACAATCAAAACCTCAACACCCTCCTCTCCTCTTTCCCTTCCGACCCCCAAATCAATCCCAGATTTTACAATTCTTCTCTGGGACAAGGCCCCGACAAAGTGAACGCAATTGCCGTATGCAGAGGGGACGTTGCATCCGAAGATTGCCGCACCTGTTTCAAAGACTCTGTTTCCATTCTCCTGCAGAACTGTACTAATCAGAAGGAAGCAATCATATGGGCACAGCGCTGTACGGTTCGATACTCGAACATCTCGATTTTCGGTGTGCTTGAATATGAGCCTGTTAAGTTTGTGCCGAGCCCAAATAAGATATCAAACGCTGAACAGTACAAGCAGGTGCGCGACCCCTTATTTGGAAATTTAAGTGAGAAAGCTGCAGCAGGGGACTCTGTTTTAAAATTTGCAGCAGGGAATGCGTCGGTGCCTGTAACAAATCAAACTATATATGCAACTGTCCAGTGCAGCCCTGATTTGGACAAACAAAACTGCAGCGATTGCCTTAAAGAGTCCATCTCAGATATTCCACAGCATTTTGGTGGTGTGGATGGAGGAAGAGTTCTTAGACCCAGCTGTAATTTGAGGTTTGAGTCCAAGCCTTTCTATGAGTCTGGAGCAGATACCCTAATAAACCTTCCAGGCGAACAAGGTATAATAATTTATTTTTGTTTGTTGCTTAATTTCTTGTTTGAGCCCCAATTAGTTAACACCACGTTGCTAACAAACAGAGCCTTGTGATTTTTGCAGGAAATAATACGAGTGAAAATAAGACGACTGGAAATAATACGAGTAACATTACAACAAAAGTGTCGCCACCGTCGTTCTTCCGATTAGCATTGTCATTGTGCTTATTAATATTATCAGCATTTGCATTCTTGTGAGAGTTTGGAAGCGAAGAAGGGCAAGAAAGTTTATTCAATTTTGTTTTATTACAAATTGGAATTTAACAAGGGCACTCTTTGTTTGTAAGTGCTTGAATTTGTCAAGGCCCATGTAATAAGGATTACTCCTTTTTTTTCTTTTTTTTTAAATAATAAGAATAAGGATTATTCTATGGTGTACGAGTTCTTACGCAAAGGGCAGACACTGTATGGTATAATCTTAATTTTGCTTTTGTGATGTCTAAGTGTATATTTGTGCCAAATCTAAAGGTCTTAGCAAGATTTTGGTTGAAGGAGATTCTAAGCTCCTAATTGATTGTGTTAACAAAGTTTGTGAAGTCCCCTGGCGTCTCTACACCTTGGTTAAGAATATTCATTTCTTGGCTTGTTTTGAGGAAATCTGCTTTCAGCGTGTCCCATGTGAGGCAATTTTTTCTGCAGACGATTTGGCTTCGGCTGATCATTTGTACATGTCTCCCCATGTTTGGATTCACTCTCTCCCTCCTGCTGCTAAATATGATTGTTTGCTCGATTTAGTTGGTCAGGCAGGGTTGTAGGCTGTAGCAGTGGTTTTGCTTTGTAGTGTTCCCTTTCTGCGGACTGGACAACTCCAAAAAGCCCAATTCAAAATGAATGCGCATGCCACTCTTTTCTGCTCCAAAAAGCCCAATTCAAAATGAATGGCATGAGCTGTCCTTGACTGCTTTTGTATTTATGTCATTGTCTTAGGCTTGCAAGTTGCAAGCATTTACGGACTGAACCAATCAAGACCATTCTATATGTTGGTGGGGCGGTGCAATACGCATGGAGATGGCCGACAACCACCCATCGAAACCCACAACCAACTCCTCTCCGTCCCTCTTGTGTGCTCTCTGTGTTTTTAATAAATAATTTTGGCTACTTTTTAAATTTGCGTTTTGGGATGAATTCTTATTTGGCTTTCTTTTTTGCAGGTTCCAATTTCTTAGTGAGGGTATCGGTTCATCACCTTGCTGCACCTCTCTGCTTCTTAGTCTGAAAGTGCAGACTTTAATGGACCACTTGTGTTCTTACAAGGACATAGGCCCGTTTGGTTTATGAAAAAGGAGACTTGATGATGGGAAATTAATTACTTTCCCATGTTTGGTAAGTTCATGCATGGGAATTGCCTAGTCAATAAAAAATAGGAGGGAAAGTGAAGCTCATGAGAAAGTTTGGAAAAATAAGCCAATATTAAATAAACATTTTTCATGACTATTTTGTCCCCATTAACAATTTAGAATTACAATATATCATTAAATGTATTTTTTTTTATTTAATTTAATATGAGTATAATTAAAAATTTATACAAACTTTGTTTTCCATTTTTAGTCAAAATAAACATGGGAAATGAAATAAATAGTTATTTTCCCAATATTACCAAACGTGGGAAATGAATCTTTTATTTCTCATCCCTTGGGAAATAATTTTTCTTCAAATTCGTTCCGTGAATCAAACAAGGCCTTAAAAAAAATTTAATGAGAAGTTTAAAAATAAAAAGTAAAAGAGATGGAATTTGGTTAGGTAAACTAACGTCGCTAACAGACAGGAGCTGACGTCCTTTAATACTGCTATGCCAGGTGTCAATTTATCATTAGTTTGTAGTACCACCTGTCATTGTCATGTGGTACTACAATATCTCAATGTGGTGGAGCACCAAATACCAATAATTTCAATTCAATAGAAAATTCAATCAAATAACTCAATGTGTTTGATTCGTTTGACTTGTCGCCAACTACTAGCCCTACTTACCATCTGTATCGACTTTTTCTTTCATTTATTTCATCACAGACTTCATATACCATAATGGAACCCTAGCTACGCTATACCATATCATAATATTTAAATACAATATCCTCATACAGATCCCAAAGGGAAATGCAATTGATGCCTGCAATGGTTTCCTCAAGATTTCTATTTCTCCTTTTTCCCATTCTTTTACTCATCGCTACTCATCAAGCCTTTGCTCAAGAAAACTGGCTAGCTTATCAAAGCCACTTGTGTTCAAACAACGAAGGCAACTACACCACCAATAGTACCTACCACAGAAACCTCAACACCCTTCTCTCCTCCCTTCCCTCCAACAACACCGGTAACGGCTATGGCTTTTACAATTCATCCTACGGCCAGAGCTCCGACAACAACCAAGTTTATGCAATTGCACTTTGCTATATGGTCAATATTGACGACCCTGGTTGCCGCAATTGCCTTAATGTCTCTAGGTACGCTCTCATTGAGCTCTGTCCTAATCAGAAGGAAGCTATGTTTTTCAACCACGGTTGTATGTTACGCTACTCAAACCGTTTGATATATGGCACCATGGAAACTACGCCTTCTCTCTGTATGTCCAACCCACAAGACGCACCGTCTTCCACCGTCAACGAATTCTTTGAAAAGCTTAGGGAGTTGTTAGAGAGCTTAAGAAGTGAAACTGCAGCTGCTGGTTCTCTTCGTAAGTTTGCATATGGAAACAAAAGCGGTGAAAATATCCAAACAATATACGGTCTTACGCAGTGCACGCCAGACTTGTCCGAGCAAGAGTGCAATGATTGCTTATTTGGTGCTATTGGAGGTTTGTACGTGTGTAGTAATGGGAAAATAGGTGGGAGAGTTATTAGACCCAGCTGTTACTTTCTGTATGAGGTTTACCCCTACATTAACATTTCAGCTGTCAAGCCACTGCCATCTCTACCAAGCCCACCATTATCATCACCACCAATATCTCCTCCTCCGCCTTCAACAACCAGGAATTCAGAAGGTTTCTGATTCTCTGAATTTTTGCAGTGCATATATGTATATATATATACAGAATGTTTTTATTATAGAAGATTTTGTGATTTTTGCAGGATCCAACAGATCTCGGAATGTCGTGATTATTGTTGTGTCAATCGTTGTTTCTCTGCTACTAATTATATCCATCTGCATTTGTTTGAGAGTGAGGAAGACAAAGGGAAAGCTTGAAATACTTCCAGGTACTGGAACAAAGTGAACTCTAGTGAACATCAAAATTCCATTTGATTTGCTGAAGCTTATTGTTGTTAAAATATAATCATTTTGGATGCTCCTTAAACAAAGAACCTATTTAATTTTTCTGAAATTGTTCCTCAGCCGAAGATGTAGATGAAATTGGAAATGCAGAATCCTTGCAAATGGACTTTGGCACCATTAGATTAGCCACAGATGACTTTTCTGAAGTTAATAAACTCGGACAAGGCGGATTTGGTTCTGTTTACAAGGTAATAACACATCATTATATATCAATTACATGCAAAGTAACAATAAGTTTAGCTTCCTTGAATACAACTCATTTGTTCTTATATTCTTTCAGGGTAGGCTATTTAATGGAGAAGATATTGCTGTGAAAAGACTTTCTACAAATTCTGGACAAGGAGATTTGGAGTTTAAAAATGAGGTCATGTTGGTGGCCAGGCTCCAACACCGAAATTTAGTTACGCTTTTGGGTTTCTGCTTGGAAGGAATTGAAAGGCTTCTTATTTATGAGTTTGTACCTAATTCCAGTCTCGATCACATCATATTTGGTATATATATATGCTTCAATGATCTTTCATTCTTTCTTTTCACTTCAAAGATTTTCTTTTCACTGGTGTGACATCCAACAAACATGAAAGAATCGTTTTCATGAATATGCAGACCCAATCAAGCGCACACAACTAGATTGGGATCGCCGCTACAAAATCATAGTAGGCATTACCCGAGGGATCATTTATCTTCATGAAGATTCTCGACTTAGAATCATCCATCGTGATCTCAAAGCTAGTAATATCTTGGTAGATGCAGAAATGAACCCCAAAATATCAGATTTTGGCATGGCAAAGTTATTTGTGCTTGATCAAACACAAGGCAATACCAGTCGAATTGTGGGGACATAGTAAGTACTTGACTAGGCTACATAGCTTATTATATTATGATTGTGATGGTTTGCTATATCACTAATCCAAAATTTTCGTTCATGTTAATGATAATATGGACATTTTTATTGATATGCAGTGGATATATGGCTCCAGAATATGCAATGCATGGACACTTTTCTGTTAAATCAGATGTCTATAGTTTTGGTGTGTTAGTTTTGGAGATAGTAAGTGGGCAGAAAAATAATTGCTTTCGCCGTGGAGAGAATGTGGAGGATTTGCTAAGCTATGTAAGTAGATGTGTACATATATATCTAGTAGTTTATGTGCGTTTGCAATTGAATTGAATGGAACCAAGAAAAGAATTTATGTCTAACTCTATTATTTTTACAAATCAATGGTTGCAGGCATGGAAAACTTGGAGGGAAGGGACAGCTTCAAATGTAATAGATCCGACATTGAGGACTGGTTCAAGAGCTGAAATAATGAGATGCATCCACATTGGGTTATTATGCGTGCAAGAAAATATAGCTGATAGGCCAACCATGGCTTCGATTGTTCTAATGCTGAATAGTTACTCTGTCACTCTTCCAGTACCCTCACAACCAGCATTTTTCAGGCATAGTAGCGTTGGATCTGACATGTATTCTTCGGGATGGACGAACAATTCAGGGTTGACAGCCGGGTCAGATCGATCCAAGAGCAACTCTGTTGTTAAAGCACCAGAAGATGAGGTTTCAATGATCACAGAAGTGTATCCTCGATAGCCTGAAGATGCATACATGGAAACTTACATTTGTTAAATTTTTTTAATGTAATTTAGCATTTCCTTTGATTAGGTGCGGAATAAGACTTGTCAATGCATGTGCAGAAGTTCCGATTAGGTGGTTTAGCAATCACAATAGAAGAAAAGGCAATCAATCAAACGACGACTTTGACTAATTTGGCTTGTTTTGTTGCCCACGACTCCCATCTCTGTCAAGTTTTTTATTTTTCTCTCGGACCAGTCTTCGTCACGACTCACATGCCTTGCTCAGAATGAGATGTTCATTGACTTCATTAAAAGTATAATCTACCCTTAATCACACGACATTTATCAAAACTTGTTGTGTTCAGTTTACCCAACTCACACCAGCTGCTGCTTGTAAACTGACAAGGTCTTTTTTTCAGTTTTCTTGCGAAATTGGCAAGTAAGTTGCCTAGAAAAGATAACGACATGTCGTGGGGGTTGGAATGGGTTTGGAGCTTATAGGCTTTCTTTTCTCGTTCGATCGACTAGCTTACCAGGGTCAACTGAAAAATGTGCTATGAAAGAAACAAGAAATCTATAATTGCGCTCTCTTTGTCTGGATCATGATCATGCATGGAACACAGACAGAGAGGCTTCAAAATAAAAAATAAAAAGTACAAGCACTATAATTACAATATGTTGGAAAGTCTTCGTCTTCCACTAAGGTAAACCATGTTCTACTTTGGCGGCGATGAATATCCAGACTAGCATCAACTTTTGCCTTTAGCTCTTTTCACCTTACCTTTTTACCCATCATTCATTAATATATATATATAGGCTTAAATGTTAAAATGGTCCCTGTGTTTTATCTCATAAGCCAATTTAGTTCATGTGTTATCAATTTAGCCAATTTAGTCCATGTGTTATCAATTTGTTAGTCAATGTGGCCCATTCCCTTAAAAATATAAAATATTTAAAATTAATTTAAAAAACTGTAATTTATTATAAAATTTTAAATTCAATCTGAAAATGGAATATATTTTTTAAAATTTTCACCTTCCCCAATTTCACGCACACACCTCAACCACCTCCCAAACCCATCCACTCTCACCACCACCACTCCAACCCCAAACCCATCCACTCTCACCACCACCACTCCAACCCCAAACCCATAGCCACCCTCACCACCATTCCAACCCCACCTGAACCACAACAACTCTCTCTCTCTCTCGGCTTCCTCTCTGACAAATCACGAAGATCTTCATAGTCGCTCATCGTAACCTTGATGGCTCTACTGTCAATTGATCATCCTCGCTGTAGCAAAAGTCTACGACATTCAGGCCAATAGATCGAAGAGGAGAGAGAGATGAAGGGCTAGTATGAGAAAATCTAAAACATAAGAGAGAAGAAAAATTGCAGCAAGAAAAAAGTAGGCATCAATTCGACTAAGAACCTTTTTTTTTCCTACAGGAATCGAGACTATTGTAGGTTGAGGTTGTGTGCGTTTTAATCATTGTAGCATTATTATTATTTGAGTTTAAATCTTTATAATTAATTAAAGATTTTTAAATTAATTTTAAATGTCTTTTTTTAGGTTTTAACATAATTTTGACGGAAAGGATCAAATTTGTTAACAGATACAAACACAAAGATTAAATTGGCCAAATTAATAACACGGGGACTAAATTAGCCGATAAGATAAAACACAGGGACCATTATGACATTTAAGCCATATATATATATATATATATATCAACACCCCTTTACAAATATTCCAACAAGAACAAGAGATCTTTTCTGATGTTGATAACAAGAGATCTTTTCTGAAATTGCATACAAATATATCAACATCAGAAAACAAATATTCTAACAAGAACAAGAGATCTTTTCTGAAATTGCATACAAATATATCAACATCAGAAAAGATCTCGTCCTTGTTGGAATATTTGTAAATTAATAGTGGGAATGCTTCTAGTTAAACCAAACCTTATCCGATTCCATTGTTCTACAGGCTTCTAATAAGCGCTTTTAGCAATTTGACAACAACAGAAATAAGCGCTTTTATCAAGCATTGATCCGTTTAACAAACATGCAATATTAATTGGAAGCATCGATTTAACTTGGTGGTGTGTTCACCAGCACCACTCAGAGGTCAGAGCTCTACTTTCTGAGAATAAAAAGCTCTGGCCGAAGCTTTTATATATTCTTATTGCTTATTTCTTATTTGAGAAGCATTCACATTTCTATGAAGTTCAAATACGTACAAATATATATATATACAATATATATGTGATCTTATCTTTAAATTAATTGATTTACTGATAAAAAATAAAAAATAAAAAGAATGCTCCCATTACAACGACCTGTTCCTACTTTTTCTGCACTGCTCATCATGAGATCCTTAACCTTATCATATATACCTCTGCAGGTTTCACCTTGTACAATGAGCCAAAACAAGATGTCTCAACTTCTATCTTCATTTTCAAGATTAATGAAATTTATAAAGAAAGAACCCTAATTGCCAATTGGACATGGTGTTCAAGTGGGCAGGCAAGGAACAACCGAGCCGACCGGTAAAAATTGACCACTCAGTCTCCGCGTGCACGATGACATATACATATTTTACTGCAGGGTACTCAGATTTGATCCATCTTAGTATCTTACATTTCAAGTTGTATTCGTTTGGAATTCGTTTTTCGGTGATACAAAGCATTCAAGATCAGAATGATGGATTTTCTTACTAATTTTTTTTTGGGAGCTGATTTTCCCACTCCCCTTTTCTCCACTTACACTCCCTTTTGTTTTTTAATATTTTTTAATCACTTTTGTTCTTTCTCTTTCCTATTCTACCCCTATCTTACTTCACTTTTATATTATTTCTTTTTCTTTATATTTAATTTTCCTACTTACACTTCATTTTCAATAATTTTTTTTTCAATGGATATAGAATTCTTTAAAATTAATATATTACAAAACAAAAACAAAATATTTCCCCCAGCCCCAATTCTTCTCTCTCCCCCTTTCCCTCTTTATTCGATAACAACCAAGCCCACCCCTCCTCATTTTCTCTCCCTCTTTTTCTCTCTTTCCCCCTCTTTCTTCAACAACCATCCACGTTTTTTTAAAAGTTTTGGGGTTTGAGTGTGGCTATCAGTGGGGCGGTAAGATCGTTTGTGGGTGGCTGCGTTGGGGCAACGATTTCTATCGGTGGGCGGGTGGCTGTGTGGGGTGCGGCATGGGGGTAGGTTGAAAAAACCTTACCAAATTCTCAAAAGTCTCTGACTTATTGTCCTTCCTTGTAACATTTTTGCTAAGTGCGAACAAAGAGAAATTTCTAATGCTCGGGTCTGAAGCTTTTTGCTTCAAGTAAGTAGCTTTACACTCTGTGATTCAGCTCAACCAATTAAAGTTTTTTTCAACCTACCCCCATGCCGCACCCCACACAGCCACCCACCCACGGATAGAAATCGTTGCCGCAACGCAGCCACCCACAAACGATCTTACCGCCCCACTGATAGCCACACTCAAACCCCAAAACTTTAAAAAAAACGTGGATGGTTGTTGAAGAAAGAGGGGGAGAGAGAAGAATTGGGGCTGGGGAAAATATTTTGTTTTTGTTTTGTAATATATTAATTTTAAAGAATTCTATATCCATTGAAAAAAAAATTATTGAAAATGAAGTGTAAGTAGGAAAATTAAATATAAAGAAAAAAAAAATATAAAAGTGAAGTAAGATAAGGGTAGAATAGGAAAGAGAAAGAACAAAAGTGATTAAAAAATATTAAAAAATAAAAGGGAGCGTAAGTGGAGAAAAAGGGAGTGGAAAATCAGCTCCCTTTTTTTTCTCTGCTTTTCAAGACAAACACACGTGGCACAATATTACTATAGGATGGCTACCGATCCACAGTATCAACATGAGCATGACATAAAGAATATCTTCCACTTTTTGCCGATCCAACACTGCCACAATTAATTCTTATTATTATCCTGGATTTGAGAAAAGCATCTACATGGAAAGCAACTTAAAACAAAAAGCACTGCCTGTCAATTTTTTTTTTTTAAAAAAAAAAAACTTGGACCAACCAATATCAACATGCACTGTGCATAGTACTGGGAGTGAGTGGTAGAGACTGTAGCATTGTAATGCCCGTTTTGGAAAAGGCCAGGCCAAGCCAGGTGCCGGTCCTTTCTAACAAAAACTGTCAAATAGTCTGAGTGACTATACATGTCTGTCTGCTGTCTTGACCATATCAACGTCTTGCCAGCATTGCCCACCACCAGCTAACTTAACACCACCCCAAACAGTATTAGTCCATAGAAAATATGATGATTAAATCGTAGAAACTACCAGAAATTTCCCAATAATTTGAAAGGTCTTAATCATATTGTCCAAGACTTTCTTTGTAAACACACAAGAAAAAACCAATTTGGCTGATTCAATTAACAAGTTAATTTTCCTAATTAATAAGTTGATAAAAAGGTCATCATACGAGTGCTCAGGGAGCCATATCCATCGGGGATGGATTCTTTAATTCCGAGTTAAAATACGGATCGTTGCTTGTGCGAATTTTAATGGTGCTTTTCTTTTAGCTAGCATCTTTTTACGTTGTGGTTCAAAAATCACAAGAGAAGATGGATGAGGAGGGTGACCTGCAAAACAGCAGTACACGATTATGTCAAAGCAAAGCCTACAAACAGAGAAACTAGGGCAAAGCACTTGAGTTATCTTTTTATATATATGAAGAATCAAGGATGCTATTATAATTTTATAGTTGTCAAGACTCTAAAAGTCCTTTAAAAAAATGTTATCATAAGTTGATTCTATTTACTAATAATATATTTTCAATTCATGAATATTAATCATGTTTTTTATTCACATTATAATATGTGGATTATTACCCACGGTTGGCCAATGATTATTGCGAACTTGAGCGCTTATGCTTGCTCCACAGATCATGAGTTCAATTCCCCGCGAAATCAAACCAAAATTTAAGTGTGGCGCCGTGGAAATGGGTTGTTGCGCTAGTCTCCCCGGGGTTACAAAGTCTTATCAAACTTTGTAATTTTCCATGTAGTGGAAGAGTTCTAATCACTTTGAAATTTTTGGGAGCGCAACCAGACTTGTATATACACATAAGTGATAACACAGACATCCTCAGATATTATATATACCCAAAGGGGGCTGATATATTTGCATAAAAAAGAAAAGAACAAGAAGCCCTGATGGAAAGCAAACTTTCCACGGTTCCTATATACTGCTCACATTATCTATGGTGCAGCTTGGCAGTTTTCTGCCCGTTAGGAACACGTGACTGCTGCAACCTACCTGCTATGTCGTGTGCTTGCAGCTTGCTTGTCTCGGAATGGAAAGACTCTACATGTTTTGATTGAGAGATTAATTGTTTGTCTATTGGTATTCAGTAAATGTTCAATTGGAATTTAAGCCCTGGTTACCAACTTACCATGCTCCCTTTATATCTCTCATCACACTTGTGTTGTATACTCGTCTTTTTCTTTATTTCTCTCGTCGTATATGATTAATTGATTAACCTTGATTATGTGATGAGAAAGATAAACTGAATATAACATATTACATAGGAGTTTCTATCGAAATGGTGGTGAAGTCCCCTGGCGTCTCTACACCTTGGTTAAGAATATTCATTTCTTGGCTTGTTTTGAGGAAATCTCCTTTCAGCGTGTCCCGCGTGAGGCAAATGTTGGATAAATTGGTTTATGGATGCTACTTTTCCTGCAAAACATTATATGAAATAATTATTAGAAAATTGTAATTTACATTGATAGAGTAGATTAAATAAAATCAATGAAAATTACAGTAAAATACTTATCTTTTGGGATGTAGAAGTTGGTCTCCATTGATACTTAATAGTTTTAGGTTGAGGCGTGTAGTCACTGTCCTTAAGAGTAGATTTCGCCCCTCGGAGACAATGTCTCGGTGTAGCAAGGTTGTATGGCGCCCTACTCTCCAGGATACAACAACCTATGACCCTCATAAGCGTACACTCACAATACTTGGGTCAGATGAACACTTGAATCTTTCCCTTGATAAAAGAAAACAAATTGGAACACAAACTCAAGAACGCAGAGAAGAAAATAATGAAGAAATATGTCAATCTGATTTCTCTTTTTATTTATTTATTTATTTTATTTTATTTATTTTTTAACACATAGCTCGAATGGTTTATTATATAGGAGATTACCAACTCCAAGTGAACGTTGGGTTTTTAACTAAGCAATTAAACCACATAAAACACTTGCACGTTAAGAACAAAATTTGATCCCAACTAAGCAATTAACTCACGCAATAAAGATTGGAATCAAAACTTTCACCAACTATTGTAAACCAAATACATTTAACTTATTTAAATGATAAAATAAATTGATATAAAAAGTAACGGTAATAACTCAATTAAAACCAAAGAGGAGATATCAAAACCGACAACGCTAACAATTAATATAAAAGTATCATGTCATAGATTTTATAAATATAGAAAATAATAGCAGTTTTAAAGAAGTAATCAAACCACTCAAAAATCTGGAAATATAAGTTCAACATAAAATAAGTAATAAAATAATTTTGTATTTTGAAATACTTACAAAAATTCCAACAGCAAATGTTTCTGCAGACGCTTTGGCTTCGGCTGATCATTTGTACATGTCTCCCCATGTTTGGATTCACTCTCTCCCTCCTGCTGCTAAATATGATTGTTTGCTCGATTTAGTTAGTCAGGCAGGGTTGTAGGCTGTAGCAGTGGTTTTGCTTTGTAGTGTTCCTTTTCTGCGGACTGGACAACTCCAAAAAGCCCAATTCAAAATGAATGCGCATGCCAATTTATAAAGCCCAATTAGATTAATTTATAATAATTTAGAATATCCCGAGCATAAACTAAAATAAAAGAGGGTGCATTTGCACCACGCAAGTGGCACGAGCTGTCCTTGACTGCTTTTGTATTTATGTCATTGTCTTAGGCTTGCAAGCATTTACGGACTGAACCAATCAAGACTATTCTATATGTTGGTGGGGCGGTGCAATACGCATGGAGATGACCGACAACCACCCATCGAAACCCACAACCAACTCCTCTCCGTCCCTCTTGTGTGCTCTCTGTTTTTTTAATAAATAATTTTGGCTACTTTTTAAATTTGCGTTTTGGGATGAATTCTTATTTGGCTTTCTTTTTTGCAGGTTCCAATTTCTTAGTGAGGGTATCGGTTCATCACCTTGCTGCACCTTTCTGCTTCTTAGTCTGAAAGTGCAGACTTTAATGGACCACTTGTGTTCTTCTGAAGGTACAGGGACATAGGCCCGTTTGGTTTTTGGGAAAGGAGACTTGAGGATGGGAAATTAATTACTTTCCCATGTTTGGTAAGTCCATACATGGGAAATTATTGCCTGGCTCATAAAAAATAGGAGGGAAATTGAAGCCATCCCCCCAACTTGGGTTTTGTTTTCCCTCATTATGAGAAAGTTTGGAAAAATAAGCCAATAGTAAATAAACATTTTTCATGACTATTTTGTCCCCATTAACAATTTAGAATTACAATATATCATTAAATGTATTTTTTTTATTTGATTTAATATGGGTATAATTGAAAATTTATACCAACTTTGTTTTCCATTCTTAGTCAAAACAAACATGGGAAATGAAATAAATAGTTACTTTCCCAATATTACCAAAAGTGGGAAATGAATATTTTATTTCTCATCCCTTGGGAAATAATTTTTCTTCAAATTTGTTCCGTAAATCAAACAAGGCCTTAAAAAAAAATTATGAGAAGTTTAAAAATAAAAAATAAAAGAGAGGGAATTTGGTTAAGTAAACTAGACCCAGCAATATCGTCCACGACCCGTTAACACGACACGAATTCGCACGAAAATAACAGTATTTGGGTTTAGCTTAATGGGTCGGGTTGAAAACGGATGGACCTGTTAGCCACCCGTTAAGCTAACGGGTCGTGTCAGTATTTTTCGCAAATCACCCGTTACTGTTAAGAGCAAGGGTATTTTTGTAATTTTTGTTCTAAAACTTGAGATTAATTTGAAACTCATATTGTCTAAGAGTTTTTTTGTTTGCCAATGTTTAATGTGGAAAACTTATTTAAGAATTTCAGCTTTATTTGTATTATATCTCTAATTTGAGATGTTTTCATTTAATAATTTGTTAAAAAATATTGTTTATTTTTTAAATGGGTGAAACGGGTTTAGCGGGTGAAACGGGTGAAAAATGACCCATTAACCATAACGAGTCGTGTCGTGTTATTCGCGAATTTGTGCGGATCGTGTTTGGGTCTAGTATTTCTGACCCGTTAGCTTAACGGGTCGTGTTCGTGTCAACCCGTTAAAAAAACGGGTTGATCCGTTAATGACCCGAAACCCGCAAAAACGACTCGTTTGCCAGCTCTAAAGTAAACTAACGTCGCTAACATACAGGAGCTGACGTCCTTTAATACTACTATACCAGGTGTCAATTTATCATTAGTTTGTAGTACCACCTGTCATTGTCATGTGGTACTACAATATCTCAATGTGGTGGAGCACCAAATGCCAATAATTTCAATTCAATAGAAAATTCAGTCAAATAACGTGTTTGATTCGTTTGACTTGTCGCCAACTACTAGCCCTACCATCTGTATCGACTTTTTATTTCATTTATTTCATCACAGACTTCATATACCATAATATAGCCACATATCATAATATTTAAATACAATATCCTCATACAGATCCTAAAGGGGAATGCAATATGGTTTCCTCAAGATTTCTCTCTCTCCTTTTTCCCCTTCTTTTACTCATCGCTACTCGTCAAGCCTTTGCTCAAGAAGACTGGCTAGCTTATCAAAGCCACTTGTGTTCAAACAACGAAGGCAACTACACCACCAATAGTACCTACCACAGAAACCTCAACACCCTTCTCTCCTCCCTTCCCTCCAACAACACCGGTAACGGCTATGGCTTTTACAATTCATCCTACGGCCAGAGCTCCGACAACAACCAAGTTTATGCAATTGCACTTTGCTATATGGTCAATATTGACGACCCTGGTTGCCGCAATTGCCTTAATGTCTCTAGGTACGCTCTCATTGAGCTCTGTCCTAATCAGAAGGAAGCTATGTTTTTCAACCACGGTTGTATGTTACGCTACTCAAATCGTTTGATATATGGCACCATGGAAACTACGCCTTCTCTCTGTATGTCGAACACACAAGACGTACCGCCTTCCACCGTCAACGAATTCTTTCAAAAGCTTAGAGAGTTGTTAGTGAGCTTAAGAAGTGAAACTGCAGCTGCTGGTTCTCTTCGTAAGTTTGCATATGGAAACACAAGCGGTGAAAATATCCAAACAATATACGGTCTTACGCAGTGCACGCCAGACTTGTCCGAGCAAGAGTGCAATGATTGCTTAATTGGTGCTGTTGGAAATTTGTGTAGTAATGGGAAAATAGGTGGGAGAGTTATTAGACCCAGCTGTTACTTTCTGTATGAGGTTTACCCCTACATTAACGTTTCAGCTGTCAAGCCACTGCCATCTCTACCAAGCCCACCGTTATCATCACCACCAATATCTCCTCCTCCGCCTTCAACAACCAGGAATTCAGAAGGTTTCTGATTCTCTGAATTTTTGCAGTGCATATATGTATATATATGCAGAATGTTTTGATTATAGAAGATTTGGTGATTTTTGCAGGATCCAACAGATCTCGGAATGTCGTGATTATTGTTGTGTCAATCGTTGTTTCTCTGCTACTAATTATATCCATCTGCATTTGTTTGAGAGTGAGGAAGACAAAGGGAAAGCTTGAAATACTTCCAGGTACTGGAACAAAGTGAACTCTAGTGAACATCAAAATTCCATTTGATTTGCTGAAGCTTATTGTTGTTATAATATAATCATTTTGGATGCTCCTTAAACAAAGAATCTATTTAATTTTTCTGAAATTGTTCCTCAGCCGAAGATGTAGATGAAATTGGAAATGCAGAATCCTTTCAAATGGACTTTGGCACCATTAGATTAGCCACAGATGACTTTTCTGAAGTTAATAAACTCGGACAAGGCGGATTTGGCTCTGTTTACAAGGTAATTAATTAATTTCCTGCTAGAATTAATGATACATCACAGTCATATGGATATCAACTACAATATCAATTATTTGTCAACGTTTATATCCTTACATGAACACATATTATTTTCTTTGTTATATATTTGTCTATTTTGTCCTGATATTTTTCAGGGTAGACTTTTCAATGGAGAAAATATAGCAGTGAAAAGACTTTGTATGAATTCTGGACAAGGAGATAAAGAATTTCAAAATGAGGTCTTGTTAGTGGCCAGGCTTCAACATCGAAATTTAGTTAGGCTCTTAGGTTTCTGCTTGGAAGGACAAGAGAGGCTTCTTGTCTACGAATTTGTCTCTAATGCAAGTCTCGATCGTATCATATTTGGTATGGATATAGTTCTATATTCTATTTGTATGACATTCAACAAACAGTACTATACTTAACATAATCTTCTATTTGGATGAATGCGCAGACCCAATCAAGCGTGCAGAGTTGGATTGGGACAGACGATACAAAATTATAGTAGGCATTACTCGGGGGCTCCTTTATCTTCATGAAGATTCTCGTCTTAGAATTATTCATCGTGATCTCAAAGTTAGTAACATCTTGATAGATGGTGAAATGAACCCCAAAATTGCAGACTTTGGCATGGCAAGATTGTTCGTGCCTGATCAAACCCAGGCCAATACCAATCGAGTTGTGGGGACCTAGTAAGTACTAGACCAGCTGGCTATAGAACTTATACATAACTGAGTGATGCTATTTATCAATAATGTCCATCCATATAGTTAAATTTGATGACCATTTTGCTGATTTACAGCGGATACATGGCTCCAGAGTATGCAATGCACGGGCACTTTTCAGTTAAGTCTGATGTCTATAGTTTTGGTGTGTTAACTTTGGAGATAATAAGTGGACAGAAAATTAGTGATTTTCAGCATGGAGAGAACGTGGAGGATCTTATAAGCTATGTAAGTGAAAAAAAATGTTGTTTGGCGCATTACGCTAAATGAATGCAATGAGAAAGAGAACATTTGTATTTCTGATTATGTTTCTCTCACGTTAACAAATCATTGTAGGCATGGAAGAATTGGGTTAAAGGGACAGCTTCAAATCTAATAGATCCCACACTGAGGATTGGTTCAAGAAGTGAAATGATGAGATGCATCCACATTGGATTATTATGTGTGCAAGAAAATGCAGCTGATAGGCCAACCATGGCTTCAATTATTGTCATGCTGAATAGCTACTCTCTCGTTCTTCCAGTGCCCTCACCGCCATCGTTTGTTATGCACAGCAACACTGAATTCAAAACTTCTTTAGGGGCATTGGACTCTAATTCAGATGATCAATCACAAACCAACTCTACGAAAGTGTCGGTGAATGAGACTTCTATTAGTGACCTATACCCTCGCTAGCAAGTGTTAGCTTGTGTGTGAAAGCTTGGAGGTGTGAAAGCAGGAAATATTGACTTGACTTGTGGAGAATTGTGGAGACTTGTGGAGACTGCAGCTGCAAGTTCCAGGCTTTGGAAACCAAATATGATTAATGGCACCAGCGGCCTTCCTACTTTACAAGGCAATAACAAATAAATAAATGAACTTTCAAATTCCTTGACTTAAAGTCACTGTTTTGTTCTATATTCTTTCAGGGTAGGTTATTTAATGGATAATATATAGCAGTGAAAAGGCTCTCTGTCAATTCTGGACAAGGAGATTTAGAATTTAAAAATGAAGTCTTGTTGGTGGCCAAGCTTCAACACCGAAATTTAGTTAGGCTCTTGGGTTTTTGCTTGGAAAGAATTGAAAGGCTTCTAATTTATGAGTTTGTCCCTAATGCAAGCCTTGATCAAATCATATTTGGTATTTATGCTTCAATGGGTTTCTTGTTTACTTTTAACCTAAACGATTTATCATAAAATTAATTTCATACATGTCATATATATGCAACAAACATCATAACCAAACAGTGGCGGATCCAGGATTCAAAAGTCAGGTAGGTGAAATTTACCTTAAAAACTCGACGGTACGAGTGAATTGCTTTTCAGAGGAAATTATCAAAAACTTCAACGAAACTGTCCGGAATTGCACAGTCAAAAGCTATTTGGCTGCTTATAAGTTGTGTTCCCTCTTTTTTTAAAGTTTGACTGGGCCATCCCATAACACAAGAGTGTGGGCTGGTAAAAATTGTTTCCTTTTTTTTTTTTTTTTTTTAAAGTTTGAATGGGCTATAACACATGTGGGTAGTTTTACATGGGCTGGGTAGGCAAAGGTTTACACTATCACATGTGATGGCTAGAAATAACCTTGTTTATATATAGGTTTTTTTTAGAGTGGTGATTTCCCCACTCCAATTTTGTCCACTTACACTCCATTTTATAACTGAAAAAGGAGTGTAAGTGGTCAAAATGGGAGTGGGGAAATCATTACCCTTTTTTTAAGTGAAAAAAATTGGGGTAGGCAGCTGCCTACCCTGCCCTGGCTGTAGAACCGCCACTGTAACCAAAGGAGGAAAGACTTGTGAGAATGAATATTGGCTTGTTGACTTGAGACAGAGTATATAACTTATAAGAAGCGTCAATCAAGCTAGAGATGCTGGTAACTAAGAAGCGTCAATCAAGCTAGAGATGCAAACTTTTAAGCGTGGAATAAAGTGTCGTGGATGACTTTAATTTACTTTCAGATAATCAAAGTCTCCTCATTAAAAATCAAACCATCTTAGTTTCAACAGTGTTTGAAACCTCACGGTGGTCAAATTAGAAGAACCAAGTGATAGGGCTTGATCCGTGAAAAAAAGAAAAAAATCTCAAACAAGAAGCTTATTTAATTAATTATTAGCTAGAGAGAGCTAAAAACTAGAAGCATTCTGCATATTTCGAAGTCTAGCTATAGCTTTCCATCAAAATCAGAATCAATCCCCTTTACAGAGACCAATCATGCCAGCTCCAATGGTCTCCTCAAGATTTCTATTTTCCATTGCCATTCTGTTATTAATCATGATCACTCAAGCCTTTGCTCAGCCAGCCCACTTCTGTATAAACAACAGAGGAAACTACACCACCAATAGCACCTATCACACAAACCTCAATACCCTTCTCTCCTCCCTGACCTATAATAAAAACGGTAACGGCTATGGCTTTTACCATTCCACGTTTGGCCAAAACTCAGACGACCAAGTTTACGCAATCGGACTCTGCAGAGGAGATGTCAAGTCGGAGGATTGCCGGTGTTGACGCCAAAAAGTGGTTCTTTGACTTAGAGGGTCAACTTAGTAATTTATACCTTCGGTATCCTTGATGCCTCGGTAGTCTACGCGATCTGCAATACGAGCAAACGCATGGTAAGACCTAGGGCACCGGTGTGGTACCGGCCGAAGGATCTTCGATGCTTAAGTAAGTTCGGGAATAGAAAGTTCAACTGACAGATCAATAGGCTTGTATGCCGTAAGTTCTGATTACCTCTATTTTGGGATTGTTGGCCTCCTTTTATAGGTCTTGGGAGGTGTGCATCTTGTTGATTATTTCGATGTGGGACTGTGGGCGTCGTTTGGGAGCGCGCCATGTGTCCCAGGAGAGGGCATTGCCCTAATGGAGAGATCGGTAGGTAGGGTGCCGAGGGCGCCTCTGACCAAGCCCAGTTTCCTCCACGTGTCTTGCCCTTATTGGCTGTTTATTTCGGGTGTAAACAGGAGTCCCCCAAGTTCTCAAGCGAGATTTCTCGGTCGGGGACTTGTATGTCCTTCGGTAGCCGCTCGGTTAATCTACCGTTCGGTAGTCTGTCAGGGAGGCGCGCTGGGGCCTTGTCCTGGTGCCGATTGACTTCAAAGACTTGCCCGGAAACTCAAGAGTCGCCACTTCGAGTGTTACCGTTCGGCAGGTCTTAGCATGTTTAAGGGGTCCGAGAGATGCTTGCCGATGCCCTGTTAACTTGGGCGAGTTTAATATTTTCTCATGCGACCTCGCGCACAGTGAGGGGTAGTGATGGGACAGAATGACGCTTCGTCTTCTGCACCCAGCGTGCTGTCAGAGATTCCACTCAGCGCTCGACACGTGGCGTGTCTTATCACGCGAAGCGGCGCTATTAATGCGCCGTTTGGTATTTCGAGGCGTACCGTTGCAACTTTCGCCCTATAAATAGAGGGAGTCTCTGAGGCAAAACTCACTTTGCATTTGTGAGTGAGGCGAGAGCTCTGTCCAAGCGGTTTCTGACGAGGGCGAACGGTAACATAGGCGATTTCCGGCGAGAGCAAACGGCAACACAGGCGATTTCCGGTAACAGCAAACGGTACTAGAAGCGATTTTAGCCCTTTCACTTCCACTATACACAAGGTACCGTTCGGTAACTTTGCAATTTTCATTTCTTCTTTCATTGTGCATACGTCCTTCCATGGTTTGAACTAGACTAGAACTTTATGCAAGTGGGATGTGGTTCGATAGTCTAGTTACCATAGGTAGAGATGTTAAGCTCATAATTTCATACATATACATGCCCTATTTACTTACTTCTTTTGCTTAGTTTCTTAGATTTCTAAGTTATTTGCCTCCCTTTGTGTGTTTTGTAGGCAAATAGAGCAAGAGAGCATAATTCATGCAATTCAAGCATGTTAAGGCCTAATTTGGATGAATGGATGAAGAGCTTAAAAGACAAACTCATTTTGGCTACAGCCCCCTGCCA